GTTGATCCAAATGGGCCTGAAAGGTTTGTGGCGACTCTCCTGACCCCATTGAAGAGTTATAGCTGAAAAAAAACTTCAACGAATATCATTTTTGTAAATGTTTGAGTTTAAACAAAAAAAAAATCCTCAAAAATTTGAGAACGAATGAAAAAACAGTAAAAAGCTAAAGTTTATAATAGAAAAAGTGCTCCAATGGCCCAAAAAAAAAATCCGCGAACCTTTTTTCCTCTCAAAATCAAAAGTTCATAAAAGCAAAAATGTGTACGTATATAAATTATTTCTATCGAAATCTAAAATTTTAAAAAGATTCAATCACAGAATCACTGAAAATTCGCAAAATTGTAATAAGAAAATTAGCAATTTTTAGTTCTGGTCTAGTTTTTAAGGAAAAGTTATTTAAATTCTTTAGTTCCTTTCTTCTTAGTATATTCTAAAGTATCAAATATACGTTGTTCAGTTGAAACCTTAAGAACCATTGAAAAACAATTTTTCCGTAAAAATTAGACCAGAACTGAAAATTGCGAATTTTCTTTTTACAATTTTGCAAATTTTCTGCGATTCTGTGATTCAATCTTTTTAAAATTTAAGAATTCGATAGAAAAAATTTATTTACACATTTTTATTTCTCTGATTTTGAGAGAAAAAAAAGGTTCGCGGATTTTTTTGCGCCATTGGAGTGCCAAAAAAATTACAAATTTTCAAAAAATATTGAAAAAAACACAATTTAGGAGAGTTGCACAAAAAATGTACAATTTTGCACCAGGCGCCGCAAATCACATTTTTTTACTCACCCTGTATAAATACAGAAAATTCAAAATATCTATTTTACTTTGTTTATTTAAGGACCTTAATTCATCACTTTATAATGTGTAAATATTTTTATTCAATACATTAATCCTTCAACCATTATTCAGGAAAACATATTCTTTGATAAAATATTAATTGATAATTTGAAAAATGGTTTTATTTTTGCAACTAAATATGTTGTTCAAAACAATTTTTTGCCAGAAACATAAGAAAATGTTTAAAATAAATTATCAATTGTATCAAACAAAAACTGTCATCTGTCATTAGAAATGTAATCAGAAAGATAAGTAATTGTCTGAGCTGACGTAATATTCAACTAGCTCATGGGTATATGGGTTTGGATGCTTTGAAATTAACTTTTTACTGCCCAGTGCATAATTATAACCTTATAACTTAATTTTTACGTCAAACATATTCCACATAATCAAGCTTCAGCTAGCAGTTTTCAATGTAAATCATCATATTAATTGCTTGTAAACTTACGACACTTTTTTAGTGTCAAAAGGTTTGCAACCTTTTTCAAACTTTTATTCCTCTTAAGGAATATCAGCAATTTTTACGAATTTGGCAGCCCTATCACTATGTAAGTGAACACAATTGCAACACTTTAGTTTCCTCTACAGTGTATGGAGTAGAATTTTCTTGTTTAACACCCGCCCAAATACTATTGGCATTATAAGCATAATAAAAAAGCATCCTTGAGAAGTTAAGGTGTCAAATCAGAAAAAAATATTCAGCAAAAGTAATTAGAAACTAGATAGATAGATAGATAGATAGATAGATAGATAGATAGATAGATAGATAGGTAAATAGATAGATAGATAGATAGATAGATAGATAGATAGATAGATAGATAGATAGATAGATAGATAGATAGATAGATAGAGGATAGATAGATAGATAGATAGATAAATAGATAGATAGATAGATAGATACATACATAGATAGATAGAAAGATAGATATTATTTTTATCTAAATTGCAAAGATTATTAAAGAAGCCCAGATAGCATACACTTTAAACAGTAATTGGATTAAGTATAAACAGATATGTTTAAGAGATTTTGATAGAGATAATCTTGGAGTAAACATAAACAGAGATATTTAAGATATTTAGATAGAGATAATCTTGTAGAAAGCATAAATAGAGATATTTAGGATGTTGGAGTAAACATAAAAACTAAAAAGATAGATCTACTGCTATGAGAAGTTAAAAATCGGGTCGACTTTAAAGTGTTTAAGTTTCTACTACGCCTCGGCCTTTGGTTTTACCTAACTTACTGACTTTTACTTTTTTGTATAGTCCTCGTATAATAATACACTATAAACCACTGTATAGTCCTCGTATAATAATACACTATAAACCACTGTATAGTCCTTGTATAATAATACACTATAAACCACTGTATAGTCCTCGAATAATAATACACTATAAACCACTGGTATATAGTTTTAGTTCTTAAAAAGCAATTGGCAAAATTCTCATCGATCATGGATCACTTCGAACTTTACTGTGGAACTAAAAAAAAGAAAATATTTTCACAGAAATGATCTAATAGTAAAATATATTTTTCACTTAAAGTTTTAATGGCGGTTACTTAAGTGAATGGCAAGTTTACTAAAGATTATTTGATATTTTGTTGACTGCAGAAGCTTTGTGGCTGAAAACTTCTTATTTCAGGGGTAAAAAGTTTTAAATTAGAATTTTTTGACTTTGATACAATTATTCCTTAATTATTAAGTTACTTATACTTTTTGGCTGAAAGGAAAAATGATGTGGAAACCAGTATTATCCTATAAACCCATTTATCTTATCTAATTTTGTTGTTAAGCATGGAAAAGGATTGCATATTTGATAAGATAATATCGTAATATCAATATTAAACTTTTTAAAAGTCAGGGACCATGAAACAAGGATTATATATTGATGCATGACAAATAAGTGGATTGTTTACTTTTATCAAACTGTACATAATAATATTCCTATTTCTAAGAATATATATTACCGCCCGTCAAGATCTCCTGATGCACAGAATGACAAAGAAATTACATATTGCACAATGATAAACCTATAGCCATAAATTCAAAGTGAAATAGCAGGGAAGGATTTTTTAATAAAACTAATCAACCGACAATGTATTAAAGTTAAACTGCGGATGTAGTATTGTGGAGAAATTTTTCAGGTTTCATTTGGGACATTTAAAACGTTTTAATGATTTATAATTACTGAGTTTGAGCGCAAAGTCGACGTTCAAAATCATCCATTTGGGTGGTTACGTTTTGAGAAATCAATTTTTTTTAAATAATGACGGTAAAAATGTATCAAAATTCTAAAGTAAACTAATTAGATTTCTAGGAACATATTTCTCAATTGAAATTTTCTCAATCATTAAATTGAATTTCTTATTCTTTATGAATTTGATCGCAAATTTTCTCAAATTCATCAAATGTAGTCTTTTCAATAAAAATTTGTGAACAATGTGACATTGCAGAAACCAATAACCGAATAATATTTCCGATGATGATATTTAATTTTCATTTTCTCAACCTGTTCCTAAACAATTAATTATTTTACTACTAACAACTAGTTAGTTTATTTTTACTACATTTTTCGTCGTCGTTATTGAATAATTTTTTCAAACCAATTCTCAAAATCATCCCTCAAAAATTAAAAATTAATGAGGATTTTAAAGATTGAAATTGTGCTCTTGTTGAAAAAATTTGCACCGTAAAAACGTCTCATAGGTCTCAAATGATTCCTTAAAAAATTCTCCACAGTTTTCTCAGTTCAACTGCCATACAATGACGGTCACTCCCTTTAAATGTGAAAATTTTTAACAAAGTGTAAAAAGACACGGTTATCATTTAGTCAAAACCAGTCAAAACCAATTGAATTTACATGTTTTATCCAGCTTTCTGAAGAGTGTAGAGTGTAAAGTGTAGAGTGTAGAGTGTAGAGTGTAGAGTGTAGAATGTAGAGTGTAGAGTGTAGAGTGTAGAGTGTAGAGTGTAGATGGGTTTCTAACTTTCCCTCTTCTCCCCCCTGTATTGGTCAGTTCCTGGTTTATACCCAGACAAGTCTCATCAAACACTGTCAAAATATCTTGATATCATCCTCCTTCTGGAAAAACGTTATCAGAAGAGAGGTTCATCCAGAACAACTACTGGGTTACCCTCAATGGATGAGACTTTAATGCTTTCCTAAAACTCTTTAAAGGGAGAGAACGGCTAGACATGGCAGCTGAGCTGAGAGTGTAGTATTGTAGAGAAATTTTTCAGGATTCATTTGAGAACTTTGAGACGTTTTTATGGTGTATAGACGGTTTATAATTAATCATCAAGAGTGCAATTTTAATCTTTTGACAATGGCTTATATTTTTGAACTATTCAATAGCGACGATAAAGAATGTTACAGTAAACTAATTAGTTGTTTAGGAACAGGTTGAGAAATAAAAATTAACTCTTATTATCGAAAATAAGTAATCAAAAAGTAAACAAATTTATGAAGAATAAGCTAGAAATAAAATAAAATGATGATACAGAAATGATTGTTTCTACCATTGATTTCTTCACAAATTTCTATTGAGAAATTTCGATTCTCAAAATCATTACTCCTGAATAGTATTCAGGAGGATTTTTAAGATTAAATTTGCGCATTTGCTGCAAACACTTTAAAAACGTCTCAACGACTCAAATGATTTCTGAAAAAATTCTCTACAATACTGCACTCTCAGCTCAACTACCATGTCTAGCCGGTCTCTCCCTTTAAATATTGCGCCCTATAGGTTAAATTATAAGATACTGCCATGAATACAGTTTTTCAATGACATATAAAATGGTTTGGCAAAAAAGAAACAAATTTAAAGCTTCAGAAATGAATGAACCTAAAAAAAGACTGAATAAGTTCCAAACAATCGGTTCTAAAGTCTTATCCTTTGAGTGTAACCCTGAATGTGAGAAGGGGGCCCATTTTAGTGATTGTTTGTTTATTATGACTAAAAAATAGTTAGAACTTACTGACAAATTGATATTGATGTAATATTCAGTTAAAACATCTATCATTTTATTAGAATTTTATTTTATATTGTTAAAACAACATAACATTCTTTAGAATTTTAAACTAACTATCTTTCCAAAAGAACTTTACATGCTGCAACATTTTTTAAAAAAGTAACATTTGCAGATATCGCAAAAATACATTTTTCTTAAAAACTGTGCGATTTAGAAGAAAAATGAAAATTCGGATTTTGATAATCACCACATTTCTAAGTACAGGTACCGAGGGTTAAAAAACGTAAAAAAAAGGTTTAAACGAAAAAAGCAAAAACAAGAAAGCCATGAAAGTGTTGCTTGGAAAGTATTAATTATTGTTTGTTAAAAGTTGTTAGGTTGCAAGTTGATTAAACTTTTGTTGATAATTTATTCATAAATCTCAAACATTTGCCAAATCATTAACATAAATCAATAAATAAATAAGGAAAGTTGAAAAAATACCCAAATTTGTAATAAAATTTTATATATTCATAAAAAAATCTTCCATTTCTGTAAATAATTGTTGGGAGAAAAGAGCAAAAAGACAGAAAAAGATAACGGAAAGAATAAGAAAATGTTAAAAATTAAAATCAATGAAAAAAAATCGACCAAAAAATGCCATGACAATAATCTGAAATAATCATAAAATAATCAAAACAAAAACATAAATTAAAATAACCGAATTTAATAAATTTGAGCCCAGTCTTAAATCCGCCAAAAAAACAGTTTCAAATGAGCGCCGGCTTAAATCTTGAAACATTGAATACAATTCTAAGTGGAACCAACCATATTTCAGCCGAGTCTCAAATTTAAGCCGCGGGTCGGATTCTTTAAATTCGGCCTCAAGTATCATTATAATTTATTTGAAACTGGAATTTGACATATAAAACCCCAAAAACAATTAGGTCCCACTACAAATAGTAATGCAAGAATATGGCCCCAGAGAGCCCAAATATAGGAAATAGGGTACGAATTTTTTTTTTGGCAAATTGCAACTTTTAGCAATAATTTTAGCGTTTTCTTGATTTTCAAGCGGGCATTTTTCTTCGTAATAATAAAACTCAAATGTTGCGGATTTTTCCGTGAACATTGATAGATTTCTTAAATGTCTAAGCAAAAATGTTCACTTTTAATCGTCAATAAACTGCTTCTATAGCTGCGAATTTAAATCAACATAGAAAGAAACCCTGGAGTTTTGTTTAAAAATGTTCTCTTAAATTCCGAATTAAGGTTCAAAATCTTTAAAAAATAAAAAATAAACATTTTAGATGTTCTCTGTATTCCCGCTACTGGGAGATCATGGGAAGAAGAAGCATGCGCAGAACAAAACATTAAAGGTATGCGCAGAACAAAATATTAAAGGTTTCTCTATAAATCTCTATAATCTCTACAATCTCTTTAATCTCTATGCATGGAGAGTAGCTCGAAATACCGTCTACAACCTCTTTAATCTCTATAAATGGAAAGTAGCTTGAAAAAATGTCTACATCCTCTTTAATCTCTATGCATTGAGAGTAGTTTGGAATAACGTATACAACCTCTTCAATCTCTGTAAATGGAAAGTAGCTTGAAATAATGTCTACATCCTCTTTAATCTCTATAAATGGAGAGTAGCTTGAAATACCGTCTACAACCTCTTTAATCTCTATAAATGGAGAGTAGCTTGAAATAATGTCTACAACCTCTTTATTCTCTATACATGGAGAGTAGTTTGAAATAATGTCTACATCCTCTTTAATCTCTGTACATGGAGAGTAGCTTGAAATAACGTTACAACCTCTTTAATCTCTATAAATGGAGAGTAGCTTGAAATAACGTCTACAACCTCTTTAATCTCAATACATGGAGAGTAGCTTGAAATAGCGTATACAACCTCTTTAATCTCAATACATGGAGAGTAGCTTGAAATAACGTCTACATCCTCTTTAATCTCTATACATGTAAAGTAGCTTGAAATAACGTCATAACCTCTTTAATCTCTATAAATGGAGAGTAGCTTGAAATAATGTCTACATCCTCTTTAATCTCAATACATGGAGAGTAGCTTGAAATAACGTCTACACCCTCTTTAATCTCAATACATGGAGAGTAGCTTGAAATAATGTCTACACCCTCTTTAATCTCAATACATGGAGAGTAGCTTGAAATAACGTCTACACCCTCTTTAATCTCTATAAATGGAGAGTAGCTTGAAATAATGTCAACAACCTCTTTAATCTCTATAAATGGAGAGTAGCTTGAAATAATGTCTACATCCTCTATAATATCAATACATGGAGAGTAGCTTGAAATAACGTCTACACCCTCTTTAATCTCTATAAATGGAGAGTAGCTTGAAATAATGTCAACAACCTCTTTAATCTCTATAAATGGAGAGGAGTTTGAAATAACCTCTTTAAGTTCAAATTTTTGTCTTTGCTGAACAAAATTTGATGTATTGGGTTTTTGTTTTCAAACAAAGTTAAACTTTTTTCAAACTTTTTATTTCCAAATAAGAAATAAGTTTTACCGGGAAATTGAAGTGTCAAGGGCGCAACTAAGTCATCCTAGTCAGGGGGGGGGAGGGGTCGTTTTTTATTGTTTCTAGTATTCTAGGTTATTAATGAAAACCAAACAGCCGATTTTTTTAAAGAGGAAATCTCAGCACTTCAAATCTTTCTATGAAAAACATGTCATTTCCCCTTTTTAAACATTATTTTTACTATCCTAGTTTTGGTCATATCTTTGTAATTGCGTATTTGCCACAAACTAAAACTTTCTAATCCCAATATCTTTGCAAACTTATATTGTAAACCAATGAGATTTCAAGCTAAAATAATTTAAATTTAAAACAATCATAGTTTGACATATCTAAAGTTTACGATATTGGGATGAGAGTTTGTGGCAAAGATTCCCTAATTTCTTTTAAATTTTAACATTCTCAAATAAGTTGTTTAACCACAGATAATAACAACACAGATAGAACACTATATGTCGTCTTTTCAAAATTTAGAGGTTTTTCGTTTACAATAACCCTGAGACACAAGCCCAAAGGAGTTCCGCGCAGGCAGTGCATGCTCACTCTTTGTTCAACGCTGCCTGCGCGGAACTCCCTAATTCTTGAAAAGACGACATATTGTGTTCTATCTGTGTTGTAATTCATAAATGTGCCTAACGGTTTATATTGTTTAAAGGACAGGACAGATATACATGCTCTGAAGGAAAGATTACATGCTTACCAGGCTGGCAGGGGGACCTTTGTCAGGTATAAAAAACATTAACTTCCTTGAGTTCATACAGTGATAACCAGAAAAAAATGAATTATTAAGACGACATTATAGCATTACTTAAATGCACTTGATGATGTTACAAAGCAAATACTCTTACTAGACACTTCACACTTATGAAATCCCTAATTTAGTGAAATGGGTCTGTTTACACCGCATAATTGTCGTGTCTCATCAACATTGGATTTTTAAAAGCAATAACTTGGTTTTTACAGTCGTCTTCCTATTACAGAGTTTTGTGGTTATCACTAGCTGTACATGAATTTTAGTATGAGTGAAAAATGTTTGCTTCAAAAGTTTGCAATGACCCTATTTTTCTTGTTTCTAGGTTCCTTTATGTGGATCTGATTGTGACCCTCAGCATGGATATTGTACGAAGGGACTTAAAGCAATCAATTAATCAATTTCTATCAATCAAGCAAATCAAAAACCAATTCTCTAATAATTCTGATTTTGTTTCCAAGGGTAAAATGGAGAATATAAACAAACTGAAAAAAGTAATATTTCATTACAAAAATATTGATATTCACAAAACTGCCTAACCCCATATGTGAAACCCGGGTTTTAAAACTGGTTTTTATAACGATACCCTGTCTTAAGTTTTTATATACCCAGGAGCAAAGTCTTTGCCAAGAATCCGAAATTTAAAAGACTATCGTGGAGTCCTTTTTGGAGTCTCAACATTTTTGTAGATTTTGATTTAAGAGATTCGAAAAAATGGAGAATATAAACAAACTGGATAAAGTAATATTTCATTACAAAATTATTGATATTTACGAAACTGCCTAACCCCATTCGTGAAACCCGGCTTTTAAAACTGGTTTTCATAACGATATCGTCTTTAGTTTTGGGCTAAGGAGTATGGAATAGGGTTATAGGTTTTCCGTACACTTTGCTGTTACGTTGAAGAACTAGTTTCTGCGTAACAATAACAAAAGCGGTCGATCTAATTTAAAAAAAACCTGATTTAGTAAATGGTGAATCTTGCTGAAAGTAAGTGATGGATATGACGAATAACTGATGAAAGTAATATTATCTGAGCTGAAAACTTTAGAAGATGGTGGATATTGATATAATTGCTTGATCTCCTCTTGTTATTAATCTCCAGATTAAATATAGCTTGTATTCCGCTTGTTATTAATCTCCAGATTAATTAACAAATCGGGATTAAGGATATCCCATTCTAAAGTTTTNTCAGGTAAATTATATTTGTATAGTCTAAATAAGTTAGGAGACTATTTTTTTTGTTTGTAAACAAAGCGTTTGGTAGTCAATTCAAACAAAACTATTTTGCAGTCTATTGGCAAAATTATATGGAAAGGAAAAAAGTATATATATGGTGGTAGGCGATTATATCAATATAATGAAGACGACTGTTTTATTAAGTTTAAGTTGTTAAAAAACTTTTTTCACATTACAAGTTTACAAACAGAAGCTTTTTTAAATTGACACCTTCTCTTTGTTTTCATGTTTTGTGTATCCGGATGCTGTTTAGAAACTTGATATAAATTTAAATTAAAACCGAAAGTCGTCTACACTATGTTGATATACTCGCCTACTACAGTATAATATATCTAAACCTCAAAAATATATACATTTCTAAATCGTACGCATTTTTTATTTTGTCTTAATATTTTTTGACCACAAGATATGCATTATGCACTAGTTCAAGTGAAGCGAGGGAGGGAAGGCAACCTCCCCCACACAGCTTCCGAACCTCAATTTACCTATCTGCGGCAGTGCACGTTTTCAAAGGGCTTCCAAACCTCCCCCAAACAGTCTACTTAGAACGAGATTAATTCAATTATTTAGGCAGGATAGTCCAGTTATAGTATCGATAACATTTGCGTATTATTTTTTTTTTACAATCAAAGATTGGGGAGAAATTAGTTTTTATTTACAGATTTTTTTACTAATAAGTAGACAAATAAGATATATTCATTATTAAATGTTGATTGCGATTTGTAAATTTTCTTTCTAGTTATTGAGATATGTAAAGAAAACTAAACTGTTTTATAGCCTAATGATTTTAAAAATATTGCCGCCTTTTTCTAAAAAGCGCTACAGATATGAAATACATATAGATCGAAAATGTATTACATTTTCTTTTCTAAACCGTTGCCCAAATTGCATTTTATTGTTGTTTAATGCATTATTTTTCAGGTAAAATAAATTAATATAAAAGTTTCGGCTTTTCGTCTGAAAACAGGTAGAAGTTGCAAGGTAACCAATCAGAGCGCGGCAGTAAGAAAATCTGATCAATCACAGACGCAAATTTATACAACTGGGAGGGGGGAGGGTGAATCGAAACGGGACATGACCCAGTCCATACTTTGATTGTAAAAATGAAATAAAAAAACGCCTCAACACGGAAATGCCTCAAAAAACAGAATCATAAAACTAATTTAATGTCGTCTTCTCTCAACTTAAAATTAAAAATACTTTATTCTAACGATTTTCACAGCCATGGCCGCAGCGCTCTGCCTCCTAGCCTGTTCTAGCCGCAGCTCACGGCCCCCTCTAGCCTGTAATGAGAGAAGACTACATTAAATTAGTTTTATGAGTTCGTTATTTTGAGACATTTCCGTGTTGAGGCGTTTCCGTGTTGTGGCGTTTCCATGTCACCCAATGGGGACGATAACTGTCGCAAATAGGTAAAAAGGGGTTAGGAAGCTGTGCGGGGAAGGTTGCCTTTCCTCCCTCGTGAAGCCCGTAGGCAATTGACTAACTAGATAATTATATAAAAAATGTATTGATGGAAGAATTGAGTTGTATAATGTAAACACTTTATAGGGTTTTATCACAGATTAAGGACAAAATTACGTGTACGTCGAGGTCGGAACTAATGTGTGAAGTTTTGTTAATCTTAAACGATTGATCCCGATATCCAACTTGGGCCCTTTTAACATGGAAAATCATAGTTTTCGTCAAAATTTGATTTGTGCTCAAATCGACAAAAATTGTTTTCGACAGGTTTTAAAGTTTTCTTTACAAGTTGAATCTACATTGAGGAGAAGGGGTATAATTTGGAAAACCTTTAAACCCTAAACCCTGAATATGAACTTTAAACCCTGAATCTGAATCCGGATGTGTTTTCAATGATTGCCTTTTTCTTCAGCCGTTTGAGTGCGAATGCAATCTAGGATACTCAGGGGACAGTTGCAGGTTAAATATTTTTTTTTAATTTATGGTACGTAAAAATTCTAAATCTGTATGAATAAAGCACGTCTTTTATGCGACCTGCAGACCCCAATATACATGCCATTGAAACTTACCTAGAGGAAACTGGCCTAATTAACGAGTAGTTTACGAAAATATCGGGCAGATTTTACTTCGGTCAGTTTTCCGTAGGTAGGATGAGCGGTAACCATCTAGTCAGCTGTAAAAAAATGTTTAAAAAATTGTTTTGTGGTAATCCTTTTATACAAACTAAAACCAATATAAACTGTTTTTTCTGAATGTATAAAGTAGTAATCTTTGGTATGCTGCTTGTTTGTTTGTATATCCGATCATTACTCACGAACTGTTGACCGATTTGCTTCAAATTTTAATTGGGGAACTCGGTAGAACATCGGAAATTTTCTTGATTTTAAAACTTCTAAATTCACTATAATGACTTTTATGAAGAAAGTTTAGTTCAAGGCAAAGCTTCTATTTTCAAATATTTAAAACTAGGTTTCTAGAGCGCCTCGCTCCTATCTTCAATTTTAACTTTTATTTAAGGTGCTCTTTTATCGTTTTTTCGTGGATTTTGAAAAAATCTAAATTTTTTAGGGACATTTGTTTAATTCTAACCATCCATAAACCTTCCCTGGGATCATGTGAGGTCTCACACAAAATTTGGGCCCGCGTGATTCAGCCTTTTTGACGTTTATCTCTTACAAACAAACAGACAAACAGAAAAGCAAAGTATATATATACTAGGGTTTTAGGGCTTTTCGCGCCCATCTTTTAATTCAATTGTAGACAGTTTCCCTTCATAGCATTGTAAAACAAAAATTAACAAAAGATTTCGCGGATTTTATAAAAAAATGTGGATTTTCAAAATTTTCAATAATAAAATTTTGTAAGAGGCAAATTTTTGAAAATCATTCATAAACCTTTCCTAGGGTCACGTGATGTCCCACAATATTATGATTAAGTACATATTTCATTTTAAAGATCCAGAAATGTAAAAAATATTTTTTTTTGCATTTAGAGAATGTGTGAAGCTTCCGGGGTGCAAGAACGGGTTTTGTCGGTAGGTTAATTAAAAATAAAATTTTAAATTTTCGGCAAATAAAATTTTGACATTTTTTTTATGTGTTATTGTTTACAATCTTTATTATTGTTGTTACGCAGAAACTAGTTCTTCAGCAGTCCAAAAACGTCACAGCAAAGTGTACGGAAACCCCATGGCCCCCTCCTTCTATTCCTTGATATAATATTGCATTTAAAATTTTGCAGAGCAGCTTGTAAAAGATTATTTATCTACACTGCAACTGCAGTCAATCTTGTTTTTAATTATCACCTATTAATCTTCTTACTTCATAATACTATACAACTCATGCAACATGCAGTTTTAAATGCAGAGCAAAAGTTACATCTAAGTCGCAACGGTGAATCGTAAAGTTTTAACAAAAGTCAAAAGTATCTTTATTTCCCTCCATGCGATCTTGTTATTGTGAAAATGTATAATCTCTCCCTTTAAATATTGCGCCC